TTCGGCATTGAAAGATATAAACAGGACGTAGCAGCCGTTCAAGAAGCCAAGGGCCATCTGTCAGAAATAGAATCTGCCGGGAAGGTGAGGGATAGGCGGAGTCAGGACATGGTAAACGGGGTAACAAAGCACGCCACCCCTCCACCCCCTCTCCTCCTAAAGCCGCCAAAACTCTGCCGGCCCACCACCTCCTCGTCCCTTGCGTCCCCAAGCCCGTACGCACGCGCTGCATCCATCGCCGGCTGGGGAGGGGCTTCCGGGAACGTCCCCGGCGGATACTCGATGACCCATTCCTGCTCGCCAGCCTCGGCGGCCTGTCTCGCAATGGCGGCGGCCCGTTTCTCTTCCTCCGCTCTGATGGCGGCGGATATGGCTTGGAGATCTGCATTGCTAGTACTGGTACTCGTCGCGGGCGTGGAAGATGCGGGTGTGGACGGTGCGGAAACCTTTTGGCGCTTGGGTAGCGGTGTGGAGATGTTTGTGGGATTGAAGGGTTGTGAAGGGGTCGATGTTGTGGTTGTGTTTGTGTTAGGAGTTAGGGAGGAGGCGGCGGCCGCGACGGCGGCGCGTTGCATGAACTGGGATGCGGTTAGGTTAGTTTTGGGAGTACTAGCAATTTCGAAGGACGTATGTATGGAGATTATACCTTCATGGTCAGCAGCCGCGAGGACATTGTTTTGGGGGATTTTGAGGTCGACATGGTGGTGGATATTGGTATACGGGCGGTTTAATGGGAAGGAATTTCAAAACTACGAGTGGAAGGGATATGCGTTCTTTAGAAGTATGCGACCATTTCTCGCCAGCAAGAACTTCGCAGCAATATGTGTGTGGTGCAGCAGCTGTAGATATACGCCAGCATCTGGATGCCGTAGTTATTTATCTTTTTTTCGTGGATGGTTGGCCAGGCCAAGGAACGCAAGCCGATTGGCCGCTGACTGCTTCAACCACATCAACTTCCACCATCGTCAATAAATGTACTCTGTCACTGTACAACCAACCAAACGCTCTACGTCGCCATCCTCACTTCCGACAACAGACTAGATACATCCACAATGCTAGCTTCCACACGGTCCCGCCTCTGCTTCGCTGCCCTCTCATCCCCTTCCCGCCTCCTCACCCGCGCATTCACAACCACCGCACCACGCCCATCCGAACCATCTGAGAATGCCATGCCAACCAACGACCCCAATCCGCACAGGAAGTTCAGCCCAATCTCCGTGACCAATGCCACGCCTACAGATGCCATGGGCTCCCAGGACCTCCCCCTGCAAGAATCAGTTGAGCACGCACAGCGCGAGCTGGCCAAGCAGGCACCCAACCGGACCACCATCTGGGCAAAGAGCCAGCAGCCGCGCGATATGGCCATGACTGGACCGCGATTCGAGCAAACTATTATGGAGTACCAGGTGAGGGCGTTTTCGTTTTGACCTAGGTCGTCCCTTTTCTTCCGCCGGGTAGCTGGCCTGCTGGATGTGTCTTTTCAAGTTATGCGTTGGGATGACATCTCTACCAAACACACAATGGATACGCGGCTAAGCGACTTCTACCGTTGATATTATTATTATGACATCAACGTGTTAAAACACCAGGGCCGGGAATGGAATGCGATGTGAAAAAACCCCAACTAACGTCTCTTCTAAACAGCCCCGGCCGTACGCTGCCATCGAATTGATCCACAAGCAGCCCGTGCGATGGACGAAGGAGAAAGTCGTCTCATGCGACGGTGGCGGAGGTCCCCTGGGTCATCCCCGAATCTTCATCAATACAGACAAACCCCAGATCTGCCCGTGCGAATACTGCGGGCTTCCATTCGTACGTATCCCAACACGGAGCAAAAAAGTTGGCTCTTTGACGCTGGGCCGTGAGAAACATCAACTATCTAACACTGATTTGAACACAGGCAAACGAGCACAACCGGAAAGCGCTGGAGGCACAGGGACAGACGTCGTATCCCTTGGAGCCGCTGGGACACCCAGCGGAGGTCAATGAGTCGCAGCGGATTACGCCAGAGGGGTTCGAGCAACGATAGAGAACAAAACCGCATTACAATAGATCCCTGTTTCTTCTTGTTTCATTTTGTCTTTTCAAATATTTCCAAATAGCCCAAATAGCTATGCGTAGCCTTTTCTTTTCTTTTTTTTTTCCTCCCCGTCCCAGTACTAGTTTGCACTAATCCATGTCGCGCATATTGTTCCTTCAGTTTCACCGCCCCGTTATCTGTATACGTATAATTTTTTTGATCCGAGACCAGTGATGGCATGAATGAATCATACGCTCTCTACGGAGATTGCGTGACCTACCTCAGTATATATCTCCTATGGAGAATCGCCCTCCCATGTTGAAGGCTGTCGCGGAAAGTATTTAGGCATTTCCGACTGGGAGAAGTAGCTCGACTTACTATTCCATGCATATAAGCCACCAATCCTCTCTCAGAGCAATTCATTGTAGACTCAGGTATAATTATCTACAGTGTACCTAACTCCAGATTAAACTTTTATTAAACTCCCCGCCCAAAAAAAAAAAAAAAAATTATAAACTACATCTTCTCCCCCTGGATAGTCGCCACAACCTTGCGCGAGTGTTTTCTAGCACGGAATTCTAGATACCAGATGCCCTGCCAGGTGCCTGTCGCCAGCCTCCCGTCGGTGATTGGGATAGTGACAGATGCACCAATGAGTGCAGATTTGATGTGCGCCTGGAGAAGACGACAGTTTGCAGAGGAGTTAGCGGATCAATTCAGAATATCATACATGT